GTGGTGGTGGCCAGAAGGTACTGGGGAGGGGACACAAACAAACTGGGGGCCTTGGGGTATTTGCTGGTGGAGAGATGCTTTTTTTGGCGGAGTCAGTGACACCTTGAAAAAAAAAGACATTATTTTTGGTGAGATGGTGCTTGGTGGTTCCTCGCTGCTGGGAGGAGGTGACGGGGGGGTCTCTGGTGTCACAGCTCCATGACTGAACCCCTTCCCATGGTGGCAGCGGGGCCTGGAGGAGCTCGAGGAGGGGGGGGGTCTCAGGGCTGAGATGGTTTTTATGGTGGGGTTAGTGGTGGTGGCCAGAAGGGACTGGGGAGGGGGCACAAACAAACTGGGGGCCTTGGGGTATTTGCTGGTGGAGAGATGCTTTTTTTGGCGGAGTCAGTGACACCTCGTTCCCTCCCAGGTGGTATTTAATTAACCTCATTTGCAAATGGACGAGCCGGGGGGGGGGGGGGGGGTGCTTGTTCCCTCCCAGGAGGTATTTAATTGACCTCATTTGCAAATGGATGAGCCAGGGGGGTGTCCCCTGCTCCCCGGTGGCAGCAGCAGGACCAGCCTGACCCAGGGCAGGAGCCAGAGGGCGGCCGAGCATCAGGCACCGGCAGCGTGACAGCCCTGGCACGTCAAGCACCACATGCATTTTTATTTTTTTTTTAGGGTTATTTTTGGTTTATTTGTGGTTTTTTGGGTTTTTTTTGGTTGGCTGTGGGCCCCAGCCCATTGCAGCAGCAGGGGCCGAGCTCTGACCGAGGCTGTTTGATACAGGAGCAGAAAAGGAATCTGTTAGACTTGAATTTTTTGTTGTTTTTTTTTTCTTTTTAAAATGTGAACCTGACACAGTAGCATAGATTATTTTTGCGGGGTGTTCTTGTTTGTTTTTTTTTTGGTTGCTGTTTTTGTACTGACATCGTGTTGTCTTCAAGGTCTGATGAAGTATTTCCCAGGCTGAGCTGGACCTTTTCCCTCTGGGGAAGCACTAAAGGTTTAACCACTGCAGAGCAAACTGTGCCCTGTGTGTCCCCCCCGGGGCAGGGCTTTCCCTGACACCCCCCAGCCCCGTCCCTGGAGCCCAATTTTGGGGTAACTCCAGCGCTTTAACCTTGTTGTGCACTAATATTTTCACATCCCAGGGTGGTTCTTGAAGTCCAGGGCAGCCCCGTTGTGCTCCAGCAGAGGAGCAGGAGCTCTGCTGGAACCAAGTTCAAGCACCCAAATGTTTTAAGGGTTCACTAGAGGAAGCAGGAGCCATTTCTTTCAAATTTAAGATGGGCAGCATTAAAACCTTTGAAGTATTAGTGGTTTTGTACCCCTGCTGGTACGTTGACCATGGAGTGGGCAGGGCTGACTGCTCACCTGGATCTCCTCCCCCATGGAGGGGGACTGTCCCCCTCCCTCACCCCACAAGGAAAGAGGGGGTGACAGCCCTGGAGGAGCTGAACCACTCCTGGGGCAGCCCCAAACCCCAGCCAGGTCCTGCTTTTACCTGTTTTGAGGGTAAATGACATTTTCCACATCCAAGAAGGAGGAAGATGATCTTCCAGGAGGGACCGGTCGCCTCTAGGATCAGCTCCCCCAGGGCTCAGAATAGTCCCCCTTTCCCCTCCTGTAGCTCAAAGGGAAGGGCATTTAACAGATTTGTTAAATTCATTCGCTTACCCCCATACGCTATGCACCCCCCCCAACACTTTTGTACTAGTCTGTGTTTAAAAAAAGTAATAAACTTGGAAGTTTATACAATCAGACTAAGTTTTAATGAACGTTGCCTGGTTTCGTCATTGAAAGTGAGGGGCCACCTTGAATGCAAGAGCTGTTTATTAATTATTTTTTTTTTTTTATTGATGACAAACAAGTTTAAAACAAACAGACAAAAAAAAAAAAAGAAGAAATCAGAAAAAAAAAAAAGAGTTAACACCGTGCTAGCACTGATGTCTGGATTTATAAAACTCAGAGTTTAACTGCTACAAAGGAAAAAACCAGCACGAAGCAGAGGCAAGCATTCCCAGCCGTGAACTAAAGGGGGCAAGGGGAGAGGAGGGGGGTTACTGGATGGATTTGCATCGCACAGAGGGGTTACAGCTTCAACCTATGGGGAAAAGTCTATGCAACTACGCAGCCTACGGAAGGAAAACAAAATTAAAAAGCCCTTCGGCAATGTTAATAAATAAAACAGTCCATCTTACAAGGAAGGAAGGTGGCCCGTGTCTCCATTCTTTCACATTTTAGAAGTCTAAACTCTGGAGGCTTTTTTTTTTTTTTCTCTTTTGTAAGAAAAGAATGGTTTAGTTTTGGTTATTTTTTTTTTCGAGGGGGGTTACTGGATGGATTTGCATCGCACAGAGGGGTTACAGCTTCAACCTATGGGGAAAAGTCTATGCAACTACGCAGCCTACGGAAGGAAAACAAAATTAAAAAGCCCTTCGGCAATGTTAATAAATAAAACAGTCCATCTTACAAGGAAGGAAGGTGGCCCGTGTCTCCATTCTTTCACATTTTAGAAGTCTAAACTCTGGAGGCTTTTTTTTTTTTTTCTCTTTTGTAAGAAAAGAATGGTTTAGTTTTGGTTATTTTTTTTTTCATTTCTGGAAAGTTTCTTGGTTTGGGTTTTTTTGTTGGTTTTGGGTGTTTTTTTTTTTTTTAATTTTTCTTTTTGCAGTTGTCGAACTAAAGGTTCTTCAACACCTGGTTCCATCTTTGTGTGCTCACTCCCGGGGAGCGACACCAGGTCTGGGCTGGGGGAGAGACACTCCAGAAAAAACTACAGCAAATACAGGTTATGAAAGCGGGTCAACAATCTACAGAAAGGACAGTCATGAAAGGGCTTTTTCCCCCCCAGTTACAAAAAAACGTGGGGTTGGTTTGCTTGTTTGCTTTTAAATGTCATTTAAGTACATTCATATGAGAGGTATTCTGAGTTCCCCCCCCAAAAAAAAGACTAGAAACACTTGGAGCCCTTTTGAGTATAAAGCTAACTTAATTCCAACTTTAAAAACGCCGAGGTTAGTGAATCACACTCTACTGAGCTTTGCCAATTAGGAGGTAGAGGTCCAGCTAATTTAGGGATCTGATAAAAATGGGATTCTGTAGGAATTTGAAATTCTCTGCGCCGTTTCTAAAAAGGTTTAGACAGAAATAAAATGCTCCCAGTGTTCCCATATGACTTAAGACATGGGTACAACTTAGAAATTGGATGGCTTCTCTTAACGTGCTGTTCTCAGGACTTGCAGCTCTCTCTCGAGCCAGCACGGATGGCACAGCCCCCTCCACTCCCTGAAAAAAAATGGGCTCCGGGTTTGGTTTGCAACACCTGAAATCTTTCAGCATCTGCATTAATCACCGAAGAAGCCACACAAAAGCCTAACCCATTATCTCTAATTATACCCAGCCATCAGAGGCCACCTTCCAACAACTGCCTGCTTTTGTCCCAATTATTTTTTTATTTTTTTTTTCCAACCTGCTTCGGTAACATTGTAGAGTCTTTACTTCAAAACCAATATAATCCCCAGGTTCCACTACTTCTTCCCCAAGATCTGCGGGAGGGAGTAAAGCAGGCCCCGTTGGCAGCTCTTCCTCCAGGGCCGAAGGGCTCAGGAACCCATCCCCTTTTTTCAAGCGCAAAGTTCATCTTACAGAAAGGCTTGGTTTTTTTTTTTTTTTGTGGTTTTTTTTTTGGTTTTTTTTTTTTTGTTTTCACAGAGTAGAGTCCAGACAGTAGCCAATTAAAGCATACAGAAAACACTTTGAAACCCTCCTCCTGCTCGAGCGCGCAGGCTCCTCTCACTCTAACTGCTATCCAATGTAGGAAGAAGAGGCTGATTGCTGCAACTTTTAATCACACTGAAAGTTCTCAAGGTTGGTGCTCTAATTTAGTTTTTTTTTTGTTTATAAACTTTTTTGTAAGCTTCTCAGAACAAGGATCTCCCAGGTCCACCACTAAGAATTCAGAGACAAACTTCTAAAAATTCAGTGCTCCTTGGAAAGAATCTCTTAAAAAAAACCACCTTGTCACGAAAGACCCGTTCAGAATGTGGGCGACACGATGACACTAGGATTTCAGAGCCAGTGTTGGACAACAAAACCTGCATCTCAGAGTTGAGCATCAGCTACGTCCCGCTGGATTTCTGCTTGGCTGGCTGTCACTTGGGAACTTCTCCCTCTCCCTCCCTCTCTCTCAGATACTCTGCTTCTAAAAATGTAAACAGTTACTGCTAAAATATAGTACCCCTTTAAAACGAGAACAACTCTGAGATGAGGGTTTTCCTCTCCCCCATCTGCTCTGAAAAGTAATGCCCTGCTCGCAAAGAGAAGTATGGAATGAAGTGAAACCTGCTTTAAGGCCCTTCTCTCGAGCGTTGTTGGACTGGGGGAGCAGGGACTGGGCTGACCACTCATTTTCAGGGGGAGTTGCTTTCCCAGTGAGGCGCCAGCCAGTCCGTCGGTGCTCTCTCTCCTCTCCGGTCAGTCTCCTTGTCTCAGTGAGCTAGCAGTGGGCTCTCTCGCGCGCTCCTTTCTCTCTCTCTCTCTCTCTTCTCCTCTCCGTTGGTTGGTTTCTTTCTCCTGTTGCTCTCACACAGTGGTGCTTCAGTTTTAGCAGTGGAAAACAGGTATCCATTTTATTTTATTTTTTTTATTACCCAGAATAAAATGCTGATGAACTAAGCTCCACACAAGCTTAGCTCTTCTTCCTCAACCTGAGGGCGAGAAAGCAAAACAGCAGCATTAGGGATGTGGCTCTTAAGACAAATAATGTGTTTGTGAACTTAAAAAAAAACCAAGAGAATAAGAAGCAGAGGGGTGACCCCCTGGTGCCTTACACTCTAATACTGTGACAGTCCCGTCACTCCACCATGTTGATATGCACGTTCACCCTGGTAAGTAGAGTCCTGTGACAGCGCCACGTCAATCTGAGATTTAAACTCATCACCAAGGTAACTGTCCTGGAAACGAAAGTGTGTGTCAGGCCTGGGGCTGCTCACCAAGCCCAAGCACTCCCTTACACAGAGGAACACCCGGCAGAGAGGGTAGAGACAAAATCCCAGGGGTTTTGTTTTGCTGGGGGATTCGAGTTTTTTTAAAAAAATCTACTGGTTTTGCTGCAGAATTTCCACAAATCCCAAGGTTTTTGGAATAGCTGGCTGTTGAACAGGCAAGCAGTTCCGAGTTACAGCTCCAGCTGAAGTCTATACACACACAGCATTTCACTTTTGTGCCCAAGTGCACTTAGAAACTCAGCCAAGTGGAGGAATACGAAATGCTGTGGCTGAGTCATTGAAAAATGGTTTTAGTTTCCATTTCCCTCAGTACTAGGCAACAAGGATGTGCACGCACACAGGTCACCATCATAAAACCCCGGAAAGAGCGTGGACTGTACAGGGAGTTGTGCTCACCTGGGATAGTTCTGGCTGGGAGAGCCCAGGCTGACTCATCTGCGATGGCTGACTCATGGAGATATACCCCTGGGTCAGGGGACCCTGGGAGAAGGGCTGGGACACCACGTCTTGGCTCGCTTGGCTGTTGGGAAGGTTTGACTGACTCGTTCCAGGAATCCCAAAACGGTTTTTCTGGCGCCCACCACGACCAGTCTTGCCTTTGGGCGCCCCACGTCCTGGAAAAGCGTTTATCCCAACCAACAGTGAGAAGTCTTACACACACAAACGTGTAAGAATTAACTGTTTCTATCAAGACTTGACCATTCTCCCACTTCAGACCTAAAAATGGGGTTTTTTTGGTCCCATTTCACCCCTGTACCTGCAGCTGGTCCGTTAGCCTGGCCAAAGTATCCCGGTGGTGGCATGGGTGGCATCACGAGGTTGAAGGGGATAGGAATGTTCATGGCGGTGACGTGGCTGGGGCCAGCACTGATCATCCCAATCTGGTCGTGAGTCTGGAAGTACATGTTGGACGGGCGCCCTGGGGAGGGGAGGGAAAGCCACGGGGACTTCAGACACAGCAAATATTTAAAAATCAACTCACTTTCCTGCTTTTGACAGTAACGAGAGGACTTGTGAGCAGGGCAAGTCAGATAGGACCAGCTTGGAACCACCAATATTTCTATTTCACTGTTCATTCCACGTTTGAAAGTTTCCAAGACCCATCTAGCACACGTTCATCCCCACTGTTGTTCTTCTACGCAAATATTTAAGAATCAACTCACTTTCCCGCTTTTGACAATAACGAGAGGACTTGTGAGCAGGGCAAGTCAGCTTGGAACCACCAATATTTCTATTTCACTGTTCATTCCACGTTTGAAAGTTTCCAAGACCCATCTAACACATGTTCATCCCCACAGTTGTTCTTCTACAGCACCTTCTAAGATTATTGAAACACACCCCCCCCCCCTCTCATTTTTCTCTTGCTCCAAGTTGGGGCTTCTATAGACAGAGCAAAATCCAGGCACATCACAAACAGTCTCAGTTCTTAAATGCTGTATTTTTCAGCAGTGGCTCTTCAAACATTTAAAAGTGTGAAGTCTGTAAGGCACTATACCCAAAAATCTATAGGGGTATTAATTTTGGTAGCTTCCCTTACCTTGACTGCTCCGGTCGTAGACAGATCCTGGAATTATAGCCTCACGCGCGTCGTACATGGCAGTGGTCATGAAACGGGCACCCTGGAAGCATCAGAGGAGTTAGACAAAGCCTTTGCACAGAAAACATTGCACTGCAACTTCAACACAAGTTATTTTGGGTAAGAATCCAGTAAAACTCCACAGATAACACACGCTTTGCAAGTGCTAAGGAAACTCAACTCACTCTAATACACAGAACACAACCAATTATTTCAACTACACCACGATAACAAGAAAAAAGAAAGGCTGCCTGCAGAATCCTTATCTCAAAGTATGAAACATTTAATGACTTTTCAGACTATTTTGAGGTTCTGATGATAGTTCTTCCCTTGCTCCATTCCCACCACCGTCCTGCGATGGCTGACAAGCTTCCCCCTTCCCCTTCAACAACTACTTATGTTAAGGGACTAAGTGTGATCCTCAACCTGCATTATTTAAAATACAATGCTATTAGGTACACATGCCTAATGAGCTTGCTGTTTCTACACAAACAGTTACTTCAGGTTTCATTCACCTCAGAAGTTAACCCTCATAAATAAAGACCCCAAAAAAAAAGCACCAAAAGGGCTTTTTTGCAAATGTTTGACTTGGAAACAGCTGAAGAAGTGACCTACTTGCCCAACTAATGCAGAGGGATCCAACCAAAACACAGAGTTATGGGTGTGTGGGGTTACGTGGGTGACTGTTTATTCCATCCGTTTATAATTGATCAATCAAACCCTAATTGCTTCATGCCCCAAACTTCTGAGAGAGGGGAGCGGTTCGACTTACCGGGTTGATGGTATTGACAAGTTTGCGGGGTTTGCTGAACTGCATGAGGCTTTCCCGGAGGTTATTCAGTGGTCCCTCCACCAGAACCTTCTGCTCCTTGTAGTAATTCAGCAGGTGATTCCAAAGGGGTTGTTTAGACAGAGCTTTCGGGTTCCCAACAATAATTACTCCGTACCTGTACGACAGCAGACAAACTAAAATTCACTTTGACTAAAAATAAAGCCATGTTACATGCTAAATAATGTCAGAGCAGCCTCAAAGTTGATCTCTTTTGCAGTAAATCCAGGCAACGAGCAGTAGGTGCAGGAAAGACCCTGTTGCAATTGTTGTGTTTACAGCAGAGGATTTCTGTAGCCTGACAAAACACTGGAGAGGAGATTGCTGCAGCCAGTTTCTCAATAATCACCAGCTTCCTTCTGCAGCTTGGCCAAACACGTTTGGCTACTCCACCACCACACCACACCGGTTAAAGGCTTGCAGAAACCAAGGAAGCCACCATTGTACCGACTCCAGCCATTTTCAGAGAAGCAAAATGGTAAAAAAAAAAGGTTGTTGGAAGAGATAAAGAAGCTGATGAAGGGAAGAATTCTGTAACAAAAGGGGAACCACACAGCAGTTTCTACAAACTACTGATGTCAAACATTAACAATGATTAGGTTGAGATTGCTCTTGGTAAATGGTAGGGAATGTGGAAATCATTCATGGCTCCCTTAAACCAAGTGAGGAACGGGCCTGTTACCCACAAAACACAGACCTTATGTTAATCAGACTGCATCCATGCTTTAGCAGAAGGAGTTAGGTCTCTACAATAAAGATTTTCCCATTTTTACTTTACCTTGCTCTTGTAAGAGCCACATTAAGACGCCTGGGGTCATTCAGAAACCCTATTCCTTGGTGTTCGTTGGCCCTCACGCAAGAAAGGATAATAAAGTCCTTCTCCCGTCCCTGGAAGGCATCCACACTTGCAATTTCCACTTCCTGAAACAGAGGAAAACACGTAAATCACGGAAGCAAAACAGTTCTGCTACCAACAGGCATTACAAAACGCACTGGCAGTGCACTGGCAGTTCCCATCATTTAAGAAAAATGTTATTTTTGTAATGACTAACGATTTGGTAATTCCACTGGTCACTAAATCTCCCGAAAGAAGAACAGCCAGTCTCAGTTTAGGACAAATTACTTTTATGTTCACTGCTTTAGAGTTCTCGTATTTCCCCCAAAACTGGCATTTGCACTATGGAAAGCATCCCTTTTCTAGATATGCTGCCAAAAAGCCTCCCAACTATCCCAAAACTTCGTAGTAAGACAGCTCCAAATTAGCAGAGCTGCTCCCAACTACCAAGAAACCTGAATCAGAGGGACAGATCATTCCTGGCAGAAGTCAAAGTATTTCCACCAAGTTTCCCTTCAGTGAAAACACTGACCAAGTTCTCAATATTGCAAAACAGACTATATTAAACATACAACCGCCTTGTTTGTAGCAACTAATTTTAATGTTTGGTAGAGGAGTTCCACTGATGGGAGGACATATTCCCAAGCAAATAAATCGTAGGACCATCAGGATTTATGGAGCTTGGTTTCCTGCACGTCTCTTGGCTTGATGCTTTTATCTAAGACACACAAACTGACTGAAGCTTTTCCACAGCTCAAGCACTAATGACCTCTCCCTTCTGTGCCTCAACGACTCCTCAGAGGATGGACCCACTGAAACCTTCCTTTCAACACAGACCTCAACAAGGCTTTCTCCTTTATCTGGCCAACTGCTCCCCTGACACTCGCTGGTATTTGATTCCTCCTAAACTCTCCTCCCTGGTCTATTTTAACCACAATCAAGTAAAAAACACAAAAATTACTAAAGAACAAACACAGACTGACGCCTAAGAAGGCGAACTAAAAATGAACATATTGCAAAGTTTCACAATATCTGACATTTCTAGCTTCTCTGCATCCAAGTGTTCTCATCCCTGCAATGATTCTGTACCTGGTAGAGCTTTGTGTGCAGGGAACCACTGAATTGCATGTACTGGACCAGATAGGATCTTTGACCTTCATAAGGAGTAATAATGCCAATCTGATCTGGTTTGGCACCAGCTTTCAACAGCTTTGTTGTTATCTTCTCCACGTTGGCCGCTTCCGTCCTAGAGAGAGATAAAGACCTTTATCTAAGGAGAATCAAGGCACCGTTGTTATCTTCTCCACGTTGGCTGCTTCCGTCCTAGAGAGAGAAAGACCTTTATCTAAGGAGAATCAAGGCACTAGGTCTAACTTTTTGTAAGTTAATGGGGTCTGAAAAACTGAATCATGTATCCTGTGCGAGCCCTTTGTCAGTAAGGCTACTTCAAGAAAAGGATCAATTTTACCCTGTGCTACTCAAACACTGTGATTAATTTGGCTTAAGCTTTGCAGGAGCATTAATCACCATGTCACCTCTGACTTAAGCCATGCATGGATTTTCTCAGCCAGAGGAATACAGGCAAAAGCCAACAGCTCAAAAAAAAAGTCTCAGAACACCACAGAAATGACACCTCCACCTTCTCAAAACTACACAACTAGGTTTTCTGGAACAGCAAAATTCATGGTGGCCATCCTTCTGAAACAGAACTACTTAGGGGTGTTAAATATACACGTGTACTTTGAATGAGATCACTAAAAACGTTCCAGCCTGCTGTGCAAACAGATCCTTCAGTTGCTTTATCTTAAAGTTTTAAATATAGAATGATTTTAATGCCAGTCTCCCTGTCAGCCAACTATTGTGCCATTTGTTTGTGCGCAATCTGGCCTGCTGCAGTCTCACACATGCTGTTCATGAAACAGACCAAGATTAAAAATATCACAGCAGATATTTGTCAGAAGTTGGTCTGGTTTCCCTTCCAGGCACACGAACAAACGCCTATCACCAAGAGGAGCAAAGTGGTTTAAGATCGCTCTTTGAAAAACAATTGGAGTGTGCAGAAAAAAGAAAATTAAATTCCCACCTCTTTCGCATACCCACCCCAAAACCTAATATTTAGGATTCTGCTTCAGGAGGTGTTGGAATTCTGACTTCAAAATGCAACTTGATCAGCATTTCCAACTGCAAATAGTTTACTTGCTGGCCCAAGTTCAGCCCATGGATTAGGAACATTGTTGTCCCGTGCTCCCTATGCTAACAGCAAAGTAAAACATGCACCTCCACAGAACAATTCAAACCCACTTAAGGTCTCAACTGCTCCCACTGGAGATGCTTTTTTCTCTTCCTTTACTGTAAGGGGAGCCTAAGGCAAAGCAACTCCAAAATGCAGCTCAGCCTGTGCTATCCTTGATGTCAGCTTTTATTAAAAAAAGCACCTGAGCCATTTCAATCACAGGTGTTAACAGGAAAAACCATTATATTAATATAGAAGAACTACTGCAGAACATCAGAATCAACAGCACTGAAGTACTGTGTCCCAGAACACGACACATTCGAGGTCTGTGGGCTGGCTCATTTGAGGCACAGCTACCACCTGCATGGAAAGTAATTCTGATTTGAAAAGACAAGCCCTTCTTCAGCTGTTACACCTTTATTCACACAGCAAGGGACCACAACTCGGGCTGAATACACAATACTATGGATTTTGCTGCAGGGATTCTGAAGGATAGAGAAATGCTTCAATATTCGGTCTGTCCTGGGAATGTATGGCAATGTAGTGTGACTGTCTCCAAGGCACATCACAGGATTATTAACAGATTCATTTAACAGTCTCTGTTCCATTTGAAATACACTGGGATAAAGTATTTTTAAGTGAGTTGTTCTATCAGTGTTCAATTTTGTTTACCTGTTCAAGTAAGAAGTGCCCGAGCTGGCAATTTCCTCCTGTCCTTGTGTAACGTAGAAAAACATGGGCTTATCTGGCTGTGGCCACTGGAAATCAAACCCTTTTTTCACACGATCCGCTGAAGAGCACAAAAATAGCAAGTAAAAAAAGTCAGCACCACTTTACTTGCTAGAACACTCACTTTGATATCAAAGCAACTTAAAGACTCAAAACTTTAAGTGCGGTGGTAATTCTTTTTTTAAGTGAATGCATTAACCAACTCATCGAGATTAAAGAATCCTTTCTTTGAGCCTTAATGAATGGAAAAGGAAGCCATTTGTGGGAGTGCTCCTCACTCACCTGCAGTGACTCCATTCTGGAGTGACCCCTCGTAGAAGATGTTGGACGGGAAGGCGCTGAGCGCGGGGTGCATGCGATACTGCACCTGCAGGCGGATGGGACGGATGCCCAGCACCACCAGCCTCTCAAAGAGGGACTGAGACAGACCAGCCTTGGCAGCCTTTTTACACATCACAACAGGTCCCAGCTGGCAGTGGTCACCCACAAGAATAAGCTGTGGAAAAGAGTAGAGTTTTTATTTTCTGAAACTGGCTAGAGAGAATAAGCTGTGGAAAAGACAGTTTGTAGAGTTTTTATTTTCTGAAACTGGCTAGAAACAGCAATATCCTACTATAAAATTGATTAGGAACTAATCGGTCTGACTTGGTAATAAACTTCAGATGTAATTTAAGGCTTATAGAATTGCTCTAGTGTCAACTAGCTTCTCGGCTGATCATTTTCAAATAAAAACTTACTTGGTCTCCCCGTTGTTCCAACATGGATCAACGGGCACCAGCTTGGTGACATGTTGAGACAATGATTATGCCATGGAAACAAAAAACTAACAGGCCTAACAAAATTGCTCTAGTGTCAACTAGCTTCTCAGCTGATCATTTTCAAATAAAATCTTACTTGGTCTCCCCATTGTTCCAACAGGATCAACATGTTTAGGCAATGATTATTCCATGGAAACAAAAAACTAACAGGCCTAACACAAAATAAAGTCAGTTAGATCTGCAGTACAGGAACATCTTCCACGAAAGGAAAGGGTTTTTCTTTATCCCTTTGTGCCTACACTATGAACATTACTGCTTGATGCTACTTCCTCTGTTTATAAGCTCAATTTTTTACTGAAATGCAGTGTCTCCTACCTGTTTTGCTCCCAGGACAACTGGCACCATGCACTCTGGCTCAGTGGCCTGTGTGCTTTCGTCGATCAGAATGGAACGGAACTGCATTTTGGCAAGTCTTGGATCCCCAGCTCCCACACAGGTGCAGCAGATCACGTCTGCGTTCTGAGACACAAACACAACCCCAATTAATCGACATTTCCACACAGAAGAGTATCCAATACCATTCTAGGAGTCCCCCCAGAAGTTAAATTGTACTCTGATCTCCACCAGCAAGTTGCAACTAAGCCTCAAGTGGGAGAAGGCACTAATTTAAGTTGCCAGGATCCGTGGAACCTTACCATAAGCAATTCCCGCTCCGCTGTGCGTTTCAGTGCACGGTAACGTTTCTCATCAGCAGATGACAGTTCTCCAGTTTCATCTTTAAGCTGCTGCAGTTTCTGAAGCTCTGGCATGCTGCAAAAAAAAGAGGAATTTTGCTTTACAGCCTAATTAACAACCTGATAGGATTACAGTGGAACTCATTTGTAAAACTAAACATGCATAGAGCCAAAAAGTTATCCCATCAAGCAAATACACGTTGTCACCATCTCACAGTTGATTAGTTGTGTCCACCACAACACTTAAGCTGGTTGGTTTTTTGTTCCCCTGCACCCTCAAGCACTTCTTACCTATCCATGTTTCTGATCTGATTGTGCAATGCCAAGAAGGACACAGGAGAGTCAATTGCTTCACGACTTTTAGCGCACAGACGAACCACTTTCAGTCCAGTTTGATGGATCTTCTCAGTCAACTGATCTACAGCTATATTACTGGGAGCACAGACTAACACAGGCCTGGAAAAAAATAAAGAAAACAAGTCAGTCTTAATGAACTGTAGATGTTTTTCCACTAGACTTGTAATAAGATCATGTGTTACAACATATCCCCTAAAAATTTTCTGAAATATGCACAGGTCTTCCCAGAAAGATGTACTTCTAGAGAATCTTTTTAATTCAATGACACAAATTATTTTCATTTTGAAAATCAAGTTAATTCTTTGCCCATTAATAACCTCATAAAGATTTAGAGATAATAGTTCTTACCCATTGCCCTGTCTGGCCAAATGATAGACGATTGTGGCTGATGTCACTGTTTTTCCGGTACCAGGGGGACCCTGAATAAGGCTCAGAGGACGCTGCAGGACAGTCTTCACAGCATAAACCTATAAAAAGATTTTTATTGCTATTTAGCATTCAACACACAGGATGTTAAAAAGTTGTTCAACCTCTCTTCATAAATCCTTTATCATATTCTTTGCCTGTAGTAAAAAGGAGATGAGGTTACCTGAGAATGGTTGAGATCAGGAAGTCCTTGTGCTGTAAAGCGCTTTGGCAACTGGCATTTAATAATTACATCTTCTACCTCATGACCTAACAGTTTGTGATAGATGTACCCAGACACTGAAGTCTCATCCACAGCAAATGTTTTTAAAGCACTCTGCATCCTGAAATGAGGGAAGGACAGGAAAAGAAGTACATCAGTATGACCTCAAATGTAACTATCCCCAAGTGTTCTTGTAACACAGGTTAATCAGACATCAAAATTCATCAGATTCAAAATTTTGGAGGGTCAATTGAAATCAGAGAGCACCTCCAGGCGGAGCAGCTTCAGGAAGCTGAACTACAAAACAGTTTTCTTCTTCCATTCCAAGTATTACTAAACAGAAGGTAAACTTCCCCCTGTTGGTTTACACATTATCTTAATGGATTTGTGACAAATCTTAAGCATTCCTCCAAAGTGAGAAAAATTGATAGTTTGATGGCATTTAAATTAATTCAATTTCTACTAAGTTAAGCCTCTCCGAGGCAGCCATCGTGTTCATAGCCTTGATACATTTGACATCCTCAGATTTCCGATCGCTGGTGTTGTGAAACACCACATCTTTTCTTGTCCAACAATTCCCATCGAAGGTAAAGGGAAGTCTACAGACCAGCTGCACCCCTTATTTGCCAAGTTTTGAAGTGCTTTCTCAATACCTGTCAAATGAAGTAGACTTCCACACAAAATCCACTTGGAAGTTGTGAGTAACTTCCACGGGCGCTCCAACGCTGCTCCTCAGCTCGATGGCTATCTCATCACCATAATCTGTAGAACCTCGTTAAGTAGTAATCTATAGTAAAAATTTGAATTTTATTTTCCCCGATTTTTTTTTTTAGCAGACCCCCCACAAATTAGAATGATCTCAAAATTACTTTTGTAGAAATTCACAGATTTCTCAGACTTCAGCCTTTAATTAAGCCTTCCCAAAGGCTCACTAAGTAAAGGATACTATCAGGAACTTTGATAACGTGACCAATTCCTTTCCATAGAGGGGCCAGGTCTCCTTTGTACCTCAAGCAGATCTCATCTCCTTGCATAAGACGCATATCTACAAAGGGAGGGAAAAAATGCTCTCAGAATATTCACCAATGAACATCTCCCAACACAAAAAACTCATGGTACTCTCATATATCCCAGGATCATCACAGCTCTTAACACACTGATGTTATTCACCAGGCATTAAAGAAAAAAACCAAAGCCAGAGAAAACATACAATCAAGCTGTCCCTACCTGAATCGGTCTTTGGCAAAGTGAAATAAGCAATTCTTTTCTTGTTCAAGCCCAGGTCCCATCTGACTGTGATGTTGTCTTGGGTCTAATGGTAAAGAAGAGACATCTATTAGGTTCTTAAAGAGCTCTTTGCCAACTACCACAGTCCCCACTGTCCTATACTTCAAAATCAGAGAAATACAAAGCCTACTGGCCTAGTGTCACAGTATAGACAAATATCTGTATTTATTCTTATGGACTGAGTCCACACCATCTGCAGAACATAATTCTGTTCTACAAGAGTTACTTAGCTCATGAGAAACAAAGTCCTAATCACCACCTGTGCTATTCTCTCCCCCCACCTTTAGAACATTCACTAAGTGCTGATGTGACCTCATATAACTCAATATGACTGGAAACTCCAACTGACAAAGGAAACTGCAAGTTATGAGGATAACATAGAAGGTGGCCAAGCTGCACAGTTCCACAATAGAATCTGGTTCTTGGAAAGATAAACTTAAAGGTGGCCAAGTTGCACAGTTCCATAATAGAATCTGGTTCTTGGAAAGATAAACTTTGAATGCACAGAAGAGGGAAGTGTTTCAAGTTCTTTTTTTACAACCTCAGTTCAGGTATTTTTGTTTTCTCTCCCTGTTATCACACATCACCACTAGTACTGCAATTACTGTGATGTAACACTACTGTAATGAAGACATTTATTTCACTTGAGCCTTCTTTCTGTGCTGTTAACAGTGACCGTGTGTTTGATACCAGAGAACTGGTCAGAAGGCCCCTCAAACAGGCACATTTTCAAGCATGTTACCTGAGACTCCTTGAGTTTCTTGTCATAGTCAGCCTCAAGCTTGACCAGAGGGCCAAATATGTTCTGGTATTGATAAGCATCTTCATATCTCAGCAGGACATGCTGCGGTTCTTCATCAACACCAGGCTTTTCTAAATCCTCAAGGGTTGCAGATGGATTTTCCTAGAATTTAAAGCACAAACATTTTGTTCTGAAATTCTAAGCATAAACAACTGACAATCTCTCACCATGCAAGAGGATTAATGTGTTTTAATACTACAGAAAGTTATCTCAAGGTATAACCAGTTAAACCTACACCAAGACATTATGTCTTGCTCACACCCAGTCCACTTTGTTATACGTTAAAGGATATAAAGAAAAACATCTCAAAAAGCAGTAACTGAATACCATCGCATCCAGTCCGGTTTGTTATACATTAAAGGATATACAGAAAAACATCTCAAAAAGCAGTAACTGAATACCAGGCGTGGACTAAGAGTTCCCTACTCAGCCAGTCATCACATAAACCAGATACGAGTGAAAGACTTGATATAGGGAAGAAAAGTTGTTGGTTTTCTTCCAGATTGCTGGACAGTGCAGCTCAAACAGAGCTAGAGAACCCAAGGATGAAACCTTCCTACTTTGATAGATGATCTTCTGAATCCTTCAATCAATTCCCAGTTGCATTATTTGTCAAACCTGCTGCATTTAAACCTCATGAGATTAAAGTATATTCCCTGACTTAGAGTTGCTAAGACAATTTTGTCCTTCTCCTTCACAAAACCACAAAATTAGCACTTGCTAAAATATCCAATATTTGAAAAGCAGCACATACCTTCCAAAGTTCTTCCAGTTTGTTGATCTGTTGAGCTGTAATCTGACGTGCTCTCAACTGTTCCTGCTCAGATGGAATCTTTACCAGCCACGAAAGGAAACAGCGATCTTGGATAAGAGGCTGCCACTGTGAACTGTCCCAATTAATATCCTTTAAACTGCTCTGACTGGCACATGGCTGCCTGCACAACCAAAATATTGAAAAAAATTATTAAATTACACAAGTGTAAGCAAAGGTAAGTGTAAGAAAAACGGTGGAAAATTAAGAGTATAAAGTGTATTTTTGGTACAAAATGAAAGCAATAGAGTCAATATAATCACACCAATAAAGGCATTCTCTCACCTGCACAGCAGAACCACCACGGAGTCTGCCTTAGCTGGAATAAAGCCAAGGAGAAACACATTACGACATCCACAGTTATAACATTCCAAGACAGTCTCTCCTAGAGGTCCATCTTTATGGAGAGTCAC